TGCGGAGCACAGACTCCGGACGCGCAGGCCCAGCGGCCATGGCTCACGGGCCCAGCCGCTCCGCGGCATGTGGGATCTTCCCAGACCGGGGCACGAACCCGTGTCCCCTGCATCGGCAGGCGGACTCTCAACCACTGCGCCACCAGAGAAGCCCAGACTTCATTCCTTTTTATGGCTAAATAACATTCTACTATATGGATATACCACATATTGCATATCTACTCATCAGCTGATGGATATTTGGGTTGTGTCCACTTTTTGGCTTTATGAAAAATGCTACAGTGAACATTCATTTACAAGTTTTTATGTGAATATATTTCTAATTCTCTTGTCTATATACCCAGGAGTGGTATTGTTGGGTCATATGATAACTCTATGTTTAGCTTTTTGAGTATATGACTTTTATTTTTTCAGTATATAACATTTTTAAAATGACAACATTTTAGAAATGGAGAAGAGATTAGTGGTTGCCAGGAGTTGGGGATGGGAAGGAAGTGGGTGTGGATATCAAATGGCAATGGGAAGGATCTTTGTGCTGTTAAAACTAATTGTTCAGCATTTTGATTGACTGTTTAGAACTTGATACACACAAACACACAAATGAGTACAAGTAAAATTGGGGGAACCTGAATAATATTGGTGGATTGTATTATATCAATGTCAATATTTAAGCTGTTACATTATACCATAGTTTTGAAAATTTTGGGAGAAACTTTGCAAAATTTACAGTGGATCTCTCTGTATTATTTCTTAAAACTGCAAATGAATCTACAATTACCTCAATAAAAATTTCAATTAAAATTAATAATAACTGGTTCTCATATATTTTTCTTTAGCTGCAAAATGTATATTGCCTCCATTCTCCCCTCCAGAGCTGGCTGCATCTACCAGCTTTCTACTATTTGCCTTTTTACTACACTAAGGGAAGAAAATATCTTATCTGCAAAAAACACTGTCATATTGTCCTCACAAATAAAAGTTTCCATGAAAATCAAATAAAAAATACTGGCAAAACACATTAAATTTATCTTCAATTTAAGACACTAGGCCTTATTATACATATTATCAGTAATTTTTTTTACAAGTTGTTTAACTTTTTTTTTTTTTTTTAATTTTTTCTTGGCCGTGCCTCATGGCTTGTGGGATCTTAGTTCCCCAACCAGGGATCGAACCCGGGCCCCCTTCAGTGGAAGTGCCAAGTCCTAACCACTGGACCACCAGGGAACTCCCTGTTTAACTTTTACTACTACAGCAGCCCACCTAGCACTATGCAAGAGTTTTAGCTAAATATCATATTGCCTAAACTAGACAACACAATCACCAACTGAATACTTTAATATTTATCCCTTCTATCCCTGGCTTTTCCTAAATATAGCTCTCTTGCACCTGTTTCTCCATTATTGGACAGAAACACATGATAATTATTTTTGTATGTCCCACAAAGAGATAAAGTTAATTATAACAAAAGATGTAAATGTATGCAGTGAAGAGAAAAACTGTCTCATCAAGACAATTGTGTTCCTGTAGGATTAAATAATAGGTTATTGGAAAAGGGAAAGATGACTCATGCTGAAGGTACTCTACTGAAATCACTAGACTTTTTTTTTTTTAAATAAGTTTGACACAGTTAAACTGTCACTAATTTTTATTAAATTCAGAAAATGCCAATATGAGCTATGGAATACTTTTTAATGTATATAGTATCTAAAATCAAGTCAAAATGAGACCTTGTAGAGCCTTTTAGATATCTGTTTTGACAAATAGATGAAAAATATGTTTAGGTACCAAATGCTTTATGTACATGTAGAAAATTGCTTTTAAAAAGTACTTGGAAATTCTTGAAAATAGCTTACATATTTTCTTTAAACAAGGTTTAAAACCTGTCTTTTTTGACAATTTGGTTTAAAAGGCTTTTTATGAATTAGGTGTAGACATAAACCCTAATTGAATCCAAATCCAAATTATCAAAAATCCCAAACTTCAGAAGTATTAGTAGTAAGTTATTCTGTGGAGAAGAACAATGCTACCCATAGTAAAACTGCTACAATTTTCAGGGATTTGCATCACATTTTATTCCTGAAAGAAAAAGCTAAGAAATGTCTCCAAAGTGTCATAAGATTTATTGTATCTATGTAAATTATGTTTAAATTTAATTTCTATTCACCTCTCTATGCTAAAAGAGGGAAAATGTTAGCATAAAAAATTGAAAGAAATTATCTATCTATCTACATGAAACCTGGAGTCAGGCTATTGATAGATAAGATAGCAGAAAAGAACTTTAATGAGGTCCTGAGCAGAAAAGAGGTCTCAAGGAATAAAGCCACTCTTATGGGCTGAGTGTGTCCCCTCAAAATTCATATGTTGAAGTCCTAACCTCTAGTACCCCAGAATGTGACTGTATTTGAGGATAGGGTGTTTAAAGAATTAACTATGTTAAAATGAGATCTTTAGGGTGAGCCCTAATTCAACATGACTGATGTTCTTAATGAGAGGAAGAAATTTGGACACAGTGACCAAGCGAGGACACAGAGAACAGATGGCCATCTACAAGCCAAGGAGATAGGCCTCAGAAGAAACCAACTGTCTCATCATGAAAAAAATAAAGGTAATTATGTGAGGTGATGGACATATTAACCAACCTTATTGTGGTAATATTTTGCAATACGTGTGTATATCAAATCACCACATTGTACACCTTAAATTTACACAATGTTATGTCAGTTCTATGGCAATAAAGCTTGGGAAAACATTAAAAAGAAGAAACTAGCCCTGCTGACACCTTATGTTGGACTTCTAGCCTCCAGAACTGTGAAAAAATAAATTTCTGTTATTTAAGCCACCCAGTCCGTGGCACTTTATTATGGCAGCCCAAGCAAACCAATACAGACACCATAGATAGCTACTTATTCAAAAGGCTGGTCAATGTCCCAATAAAAGCAATTAGAACATTTTACTTAAAGGTAACCATAGAGGCAATACAGACATAAGCAGCCACATCATGTTACCTTTAACAATGACAATGGCCTTTGGAATTCCAAACTTGGTTACCTATCTCTTGCAACAAATGTTTAAGGGTACTTGAGTTCAACTAAAGAATTCCTATAGGCACTCTCTAGTTCATCACAGGGTGTCAAGGCATTTCTTACAAATGTGGTTTCTTTTTCATCTGTTGATATTACTCAGATGTTTCATTAAGTATTTAATAAGAGCAGTGGGTATTTGCCATTTGGTGCTATATTGGAAAGTGGGAACTCACCCTTTCCATTGAAAAATGCTTAATACATGTAACTATTATTATTATATACATTTTGAGTATGGCAGTTCCTAAGCAATGTTCTAATACTACAGCATTCAGCAGTAACTCAAAAGCGGCACTACATATTATACCATCTTCAAAGGGACTTCTCTGGCAAAAGACAGATTTGGGTCTACATTAGTGCTCCTCGGTGATAAGAGGCTTCAATATTGAGAAAACAGCAAAACTGAGTTCAGATAATACTTTGAGCTTTTTATCAGAATGTTTCTCTCCCTACAGAGGATATAATTTCCCATGGTGTTTTATTTTCAGGTAATCCATATACCTCAGCTAAAAGATTCTTGTATTTCACCAACAAACCAGCAAGGTCAGGATGGACTGGGTCAGCTGCCCTTTTGTTGCATGTGATTGGGTTCCTGGTGGGAACCACTTCAAGAGGTGGATCAAAACAAGCCTACAAAAAGAAATTTCAAATTAATTAATTAAACATGTAACTATAGATCAAAAACCGCAATGTTTTAGCCCACACAAACTCAAGTAAGTAACTCTAAATAAAATACAACTTTAAAATATTGATTTTGAGGTGCTATCCTAACAAATGAAATAGGTCTCAAGAAATTAGCAAGTAACATGTTAACCTAAAAGGCAACTTTACATTTTTCTAAAAATTCTTACCTGACAATTTACAACACCAGTGATAAGTAAATGCAGCACATCTAATAAACATAATTTCTGAGAGTGTAGGAATCAAGAAAACACATATAAAATGTCTGGGGAAATTTTAATTCACATCTAGTAAAACCTTTACAGAAACTTGAACTATTATAAGGTCACTGATGAAAGACTTACCAGTATTTGTTTTATTTTTGATTATAAATCAATTCCTATGCTTCTATAATTATACAAATTGATTTTTTTAAAAAATCTGATTTCAGTAAATCAACATCAATTTCATGTTTCTTTCACACCTTACTGAGGGTAAAAATTAGGGAGATTTACCTGTATTGCAGTATCTTCTCCTATTGTCAAAAGAGTGTATAATGTTCTAAATTTTAATTAGCATAACTGGTTAAGAACAAAGTTTATATGATTCAAATGAAGCCAAGAAAAATGTGTTAATCTAAATCTCTAAAAAGTATAAATATATCACATGGTGCTTAATGTATTAAAGGAACAAAATACATTTTTCTAAGGTTATCAGGTTTTAGAATTTTATGCTTACCAAGATACTAGGAACATAAGCCTGCATAAGAGAATACAAAATAACTATGTTTAAATGTTTAAAAAAATAGAGAACTTTTGAAAATGTGATTAAGTCACAAGAGACCACAAAGAATTAACATATTGGAAAACATGTTGGAAAAACAACCAAATAAGACCCTTAGAAATAAAAGGTGTAATAGTTTTAATTTGAAAACTGAATGGACACATTAAAAAGCAACTTAGACATAGCTGAGGAATGAGTGAACTCAAAGATGAAGGAAATTATCAAGCATATAGGAAAAAAAATAAATGGTGAAAGCGAGTTTAAAGGCAGAGAGATTGAAATGAGAAGGCCTATCATACGTCCATTTGGAGTCCAAGAAGGCTACATTCTAGAGAATGGGGAAGAGACACTATCTGAAGAAATAATGTTTTGATAATTTTACAGAATTGTTGAAAGATTCCAATCTAAGTGGTCTAGCAAATCCCAAGTGACTAAAAAAAATTTCTTTACCTCCACACTCATAATGAAACTGTAGAACATAAAGAAAGATCTAAAAAGCGGATAATAGAAAGGACAGATAATTACAAAGAAATAGCAGTTAGACTGGTGAGTGACTTCTCAATAGTAACAGGCTGAGAAACAGCAAAATGATATCTGTAATGTACTAAGAAAAATGTATCATCTTTTACTGAGTCTAAGATGCACAAATTTTCACATATCTGCAACTGGGCTGCAGCTTAAAGTTGATGCTAATTCATATATGGATAGGTTAGCTGAAAACATACTTCTGAATTTCAAAATACTGGATAAAATAGTAGTATTTCTTCAAATCAAGGATATAAGGTAACTGCCAACCAGAATTTTATACTTAATTATGTTTTAAGATTAAGAGTAAAATAAAGATATTTTAGACTAACAAAAATTGAATTTACCACTAATAGGTCCTCACTTAAGAGAATTCTAAAGGATGCATTTCACATAGAAAGAACTCACAAAGTCTGAGATACAAGAAAGACTAGTAAAAAAAAAGAACAAACAGTAAATATTATGTGGGTATATTTACATAAGTGTTAATTAATTTAAAAAGTGTGATTTATGGGATTGAAAATAAGGAATAGAACCAATGCAGGACAAAAAAAGCATATACACTGAGAGGAGAAAAACAGTTTAAAGCACTATAAAATATTCATATTTCTCAAGAGTAACCATACAGATTTCAGTTAATTTTGCTAAGTATATGTGTTAAAACAGCTAATATAACTAGTTAAACAATAGTCATACAGCATATAACTTATAAACTAGTAGAAAAGGAAAAAACAGAATGAGAAAAAAGAAATAAATGCAACACAACAAAACAAAAACAATCAGTTTTTGGTATGATAGGAGGGAAGAGGAAACAAAAATAATGGAACAAATAGATTACACATATGATGATAGAAATACACCCAAATAATCAGTAATATCAATAAATGCAAATGGACTAAACTTTCCAGTTAAAAGCAAAGATTAACAATGTTATTCAAAAAAACAAAAAACTGAAAACAACCCACATGTTAAATAAGAGTTTAATGGATAAGTAACTTATGGTATATTTGTACAACAGAATAATTATTGAATAATTGTACATAGATCAACACAAATCTCATGACGTAAAAGAAGTAACAAAAACACAAAAGCAGTATAATTCCATTAAACAAACTTTTAAAACAGATAAAATTAATATTTTTTAGGGATTCATATATGAGTGATAAGACTAGGAAGAGAAGCAAGGGAATGATAGACACAAAACTCAAATATCCACAATTTTTAAGTTTAGGTGGGAGTAAAGGGATTCAGTTAGTAAGGGGCACACAGGAAGGTTCTAAGGTATTGGCAGTGTTTTATGAAACTAGGTGATGGGTTCATAGGTATTTGTTTTATTACCTAATCTGTGTGTATACATTTTATAGTTCTTTTCTATTTTTTCATTCTATTTTTTCTATATTCTTTTATTCTATTTTTATTCTATGTTTTAAAAAAATCCATTCACAAAACAAAACTACGTATTTTTTAAGATGCATATATATCCAAAGATATACGTCAAACATATTAGACTGAGATGAGATAGAAACGGAGATGGAGAAAAAATAAAGGGAGAGGGGTCTTGCACAGAAAGATGATAGTGTACCATGAACTAAGCATGATTAACTTGACTGTGTACCTGAGATCTAAAACAAAAGGGCAAATTGATTAAAATGTGCTAAATGTCTTATTTTTAGTACACCACAATATCACTAAGATTTCAAACACCAATAATAAAAAGAAAAAATAATACTATGTTCAATTAGGTTTTTAATTTATAAAAGTAAGAAATATTCAACCAGAAATTAATTTTTGTAGTCAAGTTCTTTCAAATACAGCTTGAAAACTTTTCTTATTTCATAGTTTAGAAGATATGAACAAAGAGACATGCTGTACAAGAATATTCACTGTAGCTTATTTATATAAGAAAAAACTAAAATGTATAAAAACTGATATATTACTATAATTTGTAATGGAATTCTATGCAGCAGTTAACATGCCCAGACTAAATTTATGTGAATCAAAAAGAACTACTCTCATAAACATAAGATTGAGTGCAAATAGCAAGGTAGAAAGTTATGTCTAGTAGAATATCATTTATGTAATTTTTTAAATCCCCAAAACAACATAAGAAGCATTCACATATATCTAAAAACATGGACATAAAGGCTATACACTTTGTTCAGAAGTTATCTCTGAAAATGAAAAAAGGGCTTCCCTGGTGGCGCAGTGGTTGAGAGTCCGCCTGCTGATGCAGGGGACATGGGTTCGTGCCCCGGTCTGGGAAGATTCCACATGCCGCAGAGCGGCTAGGTCCGTGAGCCATGGCCGCTGAGCCTGCGCGTCCAAAGCCTGTGCTCCGCAACACGAGAGGCCACAACAGTGAGAGGCCCGCGTACCACAAAAAAAAAAAAGGAAAAAAAAATGGTACAGGATGGTCCAGTAGTACTTTCACATAGACTTGTAATAGCAGCTGCCCTAACACCCTCATCTCTCACCACCCCACTGGATTTAGATTTATTGATACTGAAGACACTTATTAAAGAACAATTATCTTTAATGAAACTTTAGTCTCATCCTCATTTTAATTATTTGATACTTAAAATCAATACTATATCAATTCTTTTTCTAAGAACCAGAGAAGAGACTTAAAAGAACAACTAAAATTTTGGTGAATTGAAAAGGGAGAATGAACTGCTCCTCAGTCCTGGCACAAGAATCATACAGGAGACAAAGGTTTTCTTAAGAATCCTATCCTCTGCTTTTATTTTTATTTCCTTACCATTTTATGAATCTTATGCTCTATTAAAAACAACTTATTAGTTTCGCTCATATTGCCTCTAAGAAAAAAGCTATGTGGCCCAAAATATATCCCCAGAAGCATGAACTGATCCTGCAGTATCTCAAGTACCACCTCCTTCCTTGATTCACGCAAGGTGAGGGTAATCTCTCTCTCCTCCTGACTCTTATAGTATATGATCTATACTTTTCCTTTGATTGTTATCTCATTCAATATTGTATCATGGGGACTTCCCTGGTGGCACAGGGGTTGAGAGTCCACCTGCCAATGCAGGGGACACAGGTTCAAGCCCTGGTCCAGGAGGATCCTGCATGCTGCGGAGCAACTAAGCCCATGCACCACAACTACTGAGCCCGCGTGCCACAGCTGCTGGAGCCTGTGTGCCTAGAGCCCGTGCTCCGCAACAGGAGAGGCCACTGCAATTAGAAGCCTGCACACCGCAGCGAAGAGAAGCCCCCGCTCACTGCAACTAGAGAAAGCCCGTGCCCAGCAATGAAGTACCAACGCAGCCAAACATAAATAAATTTATTAAAAATATATATATTGTATTATGTAAAAATCTTATGTCTCCTACTAAATTAAAGGTACATTAAGAGCAGAATCTATTTCTGGTTTATCTCTATCATCCCATACGAGGAACAAAAACTACAGATTGAACAACTAAAGAACCCAACAGTTCTTTCAAAAAAACCACCCTTATATACAAAGTTAACTTATACAGGTGATAGTACTGTTCTCCCAAACTTACCTTATAGAAATATAATAAAAATATAATAGGAGTCTGAAGTAAAAAATAAAATACATCAATATGACACAATTATTCTGTGAATTTAGGTTTGTACATTTTTACACAGTCATAAGATTCATCAATACTCACATTAGAAAGATACAGTATGCTATGCCTCATTTAGTGGAAAGTAAAAACCATAAATTTTTACCATATCAGGCACAAGAGAAAATTTCAAAACCAAGGTCAATTCTAGAAGAAACCTGAATTGTCCAGTATGAGTGGCTGCCCTGCACTATTCACCAAAAGAATGTTTGCACATCAAAGGAGCTGTTGCTAGGTGAACGCATCACAGAGGTCCAGGGAAGGGCAAAGAGACCTCCTAAAGTGATAAAGTAAGGCCTGTGGGTCTTTATTTCCCTAATTAATGAAGTGAAAACATAAAGTGGCTTCATCAAGCATGAGCGAACTTAACAACTCTTAGGAAAGTGATCCCACTGAAAGTAAACATTCTAGCAAAGGTAAAACATATTTTGGAGCTTTCTTTTGTGAAATTCTTGGAATAGGTCAAATTTTTGTACTTCAATACCTACACCTTATCAAGAAAGAAGTATTTTGAAAGGAGGAGAAAAATGATGATTCCATCTACAATTCCTAAAGCAAAAGATGATTTGTCTGAAAAACTGGTATTCTAATTCTTAGAAATTATGTCCCTATTATGTATTCTTGATACCAGAATCACTAGAATTACACTTCATATATCATCTAATCTAGTGGTTCTCAACCCTGCCCACCCCTTAGAATCTCAAAGATAACTTCAAAAAATACTGATACTGGGCCTCCCTGGTGGCGCAGTGGTTGAGAATCGCCTGCCAATGCAGGGGACACGGGTTCGATCCCTGGTCTGGGAAGATCCCACATGCAGCGGAACAACTAAGCCCGTGCGCCACAACTACTGAGCCTGCGCTCTAGAGTCCGTGAGCCACAACTACTAAGCCCACGTGCCGCAACTACTGAAGGCCACGTGCCCAGAGCCCGTGCTCCACAACAAGAGAAGCCACCGCAATGAGAAGCGCGCTCACTGCAATGAAGAGTAGCCCCCACTTGCCACAACTAGAGAAAGCCTGCGTGCAGCAACGAAGACCCAACGCAGCCAAAAAAAAAAAAAAGAAAGAAAATACTGATACTCTGACACTACCCCAAGTTCTGACTTAATTGGTCTGCAGTGGAGAGCCTAAGCACAAATATTTTTAAAAATCTACACAGGTAATTCTAGTGTGACTTTAGGGTTGAGAACGACTATCCCCCTATCTTTATTTACATATGATAAAAATGAGGCAGGGATAAAATTAGTATTAATAGGAATGAGAGTAATAGTTTAATAACTAAGCCAGGAAAATAAGAAATATCCGTTTTTTCCCTCTAAAACTAGATTTTAAAAATTACATCCCCAAGCAGCAGAAACATAACTATGAACAAGACAGGAAATTTCTTATAAAGCTGAAATTCTGGTGGAAAAAAAAAAAGATAGTAAACAAGTATATAAATAAATAAAATCATTTTAGATAGTGTTCAGTGCTGTGAATAAAATAAGCTAATGTATAGTAACGAGGAGGTAAGTGAGGGGGCAGTTTTTGATAATGTAATCAAAGAAGGCCTGCTTTGAATATATTAACATAATCATATTATACATTTTACTGGATAACCTGCCTTGATCATTTAACAATTTGTGAAAGTTGTCTTACAGTGCATCTATAGTATATATCCATTGTTCCTTTAACAACTTCATCCATCCTGATGGAGATTTTATTGTTTTTTACTATGTAAATTGATGCTGTGAGGAACACTTTTATACATATATGTTTGTATATACGTGTAATTATTACTCTAGGATGAATTCCTAGAAGTGGAATTAAAAGATCAAAGAAAGCACACATTAAAGTTTTGATAGATATTACCAAATAACCCTCAAAATTTTTGTAAAAATGGAACTTCTGCAGAAAGGATACACATTTTTTCAAGCAACTGCCATTAACAGGATTTGAATAAAAATATTTTATTTTTCTATCCTCTGTGAAATGATCGGTTCTCAGTCTTTGTCTTATTTGACCAATGTGCAATATACTCAGCAGAATTACTTACCTCTTACTCCTGTGAAACTCTTCTTCACTTGTCGTCTAAGGCTGCATATGCTCTAGGAGTTTTTTCTCATAACATGCTGGACTCTTCCATCTTCCTTCCTGGTTCCTCCTCATCTCTTTGAATTCTAAACATTGAAGTATCCTAGGCATCAGTCCTAGGTCCTCTCTCTACCTACACTCATTCTCTTCCTGGGCGCTCATCCAATCTCATGGATTTAACTATCGTATCTCTCGTTTATATGAATATCACTAAGACATCTGGATGTCTAAGAGGCATCTAAAAACATCTAAAAACTTATCTCTGTAATGGCAACTCCATCTACCAGTTGCTCAAACCAATCCCTTGCTTTTTTCTTTCTTACACCCTACCTTCCTCTCTTTATTGAGGTTTCTGCTCAAGTCAGATTCCTCAGAGAAGCCTCTCTTAGCACACTTCTAAAACAGCACTCTCCTGCCTCCCACCACCATTCCCTATCCTCTTAGATTGCCTATTTTTAAAAAATGCTAGGTCTTAACATCTAAAATTAGAATACATATTTCTTTAATTGATCATTAGCTGATGTGGGGGGAGCAACTTTATTGGTTCACCATGGTATCTCTAGCACCTAGAGCAGTGTCTTGTGTTGTTGACACAGTAGCTACTTAATAACTATCGGCTCAATGAAAGAATGAATGAATTGTACAGGTCACATAGAGATATTATAGTTGAAAACCAGGCCGTTAAGGTGCAAAGGCAACGTATTAGAAACATCCAGTTTTGGTCCTAATTTTAGGCACAGTTATGTATCTTTGACTTAGTTATCCTTCAAAGTCTATTTCTCCATCTGTAAATCGGGGTTTATGTCATCTTCCTCAGCAAACAAGAAGCTGTAGTCAATATCTATTTAGTATTACAATCACAAAAGTTTCACTACCTGTAATCTTCCAGGAACATCTGCTTCAATTTTCGTCTTAATTTCAGTTGTCCAGGTATAACATAATATGACGGTATGTATTCAGAAGTCCTTAACATTTTAAAGTTATTATACAGTTGGCCTTCAGTATTTTTGGGTTCCACATGCTCAGATTCAACCAATCCTGAGTCAAAAATTATTTTTTAAAAAAAAGTTCCAGAAAGTTCCAAAAAGCAAAACTTGAATTTGCAGCATACCAGCACCTATTTATATAGCATTTACCCTGCATCAGTCATCTAGAGATTACTTATCTAGAGTATGTGCTTAGGTTATATGTAAAAACTACGCCATTGTTTATAACGGACTTCAGCATTTGAGGATTTTAGTATCTGTGTGTCGGTCCTGGAACCAATCAGAAACTTGCAGGCCCAGTCCTCGCAAACACCCCCGCTGCCTTCCAAGAGGGAGGAGTGTCTGCCCCTGTCAGTCACTAGGCATCCAGTTTATGTAAGGCCAGCGTCCTTTCTCCAACCCCAGATCTGCGTGGGGGAATCTGGCAAAATCTAGACTCGCAAAAATGACGACCCTCCCCGTACTGGCCAACTTGGGGTTATCCACACCCTGAGGGAGCCACGCGGCGCTCCAGCTCCACTGGCCCGAAACAGCGGGCTGGGTTTCAACCATGGCGGAGTATCAGCTTCACCTGAGGAGATTTTAAAAAGTCAGAGGCGCCACCCAGACTGTCCGATTCAGTTTCTGACGGAGCCGGGGAGCGAGAACGCCGGACGCCGCCCCACACTCCGCAGGCCTACCCCCTGCCGGCCAGCCCGGGACCCACCCAAGCTCCCCACGGGGGAGCCGGGGTACAACGCTCCAGCAGAAGCCCCGCCCCCTCAGCCCACGCAGGCCTCCGGCGCCCGCCAAACTGGTCTCCCGCGAGACCGCCCCTTGGCTCCGCCCACTGCCCCGCCACCGAAAGGCTGGAATCGGGGGGCGTGAGTCCCTCTTCAGCTGCTTCGCTGCCCACACGATGGCGCATTCTCGCAAGGGCCCTTCCACCAGCCAATTATTTCCTCCATCCAGTCTTCCACAGAGTTCCCTCATCTTCCCGTGGCATTTCAGACCCTCAACTCCTCAGCTTTTCTCTAAGGGACCTACGTCCGTCTGGACCGCGCACGCGCGCATCCATGTCCAGGGGGCGCACGCGCAGTAGCAGGGTCGGCCTGGGCAGTCGCTAAGCGCGTGTGTTGGGCAATCCCGCGCCGCAGTGGAGCGAGTCGAGCCTCGATTTTGTCGGTGTCCATTGTGGGCAGCGGACTTATAAAGGTCATGGCGCCGGCGGAAATCCTGAACGGGAAGGTCATCTCTGCGTAAGGACCTGTCGTTGTTGTTAGGGCGTGTTGGGCTGCTGGCGAGGGCTGTGAGCAGGGTGTGCAGGTCCCTAAGGATCCTTTTTTTTTTTTTTTTTTT